AATTCTTCCAAGCAACCCACACAGTCACCCTGAAATTTTAACCGTTATCCCTATTAGTGTTACCACAAGATCGTCATTATTGCCACTGTTAATTGTGGCAGTATCAATACATTATGGTGCTAGAGATAAATTACGAATCGAATGCTCGAAAAATGATTTTCAACTGAAAGAATCAGCTAAAATTTTTTGGACGTAAAAATTGACAAAAACGAGTTTTGGTAGATGGGCGCAACTGGAACATCACATCACGTTTCATAAACAATAATTCAGAGGTAAAATAACAGCAGGACTATAGAAAATGAAAGTGAAATATAAACCTTAATAAAAGCCAGTGGCATTCGCTCGCGTTGTACCACGTTCAAAACGTTTTTGGCTGCTATTCGACTAATCTTTAACAACTCGACTGTTTCGTTTCGATTCGTCAATGTATCGATAATCTGCAGGCATTGAAATGAGATTAACATCGGAATACTGTTCGAGAACAATAACACAATTTTGGTTGACCTATTCACTGGATTCCCACTTCCCCTCGGTCTAATGACAATCGTTGACGACGATGATGCAAAGAAACCTTCTGAAGCTCGGCATCTCTATCCGTGTAGACCACCACGCAGCGCTTTTCGACGACCTCTTTAAAGACTCGTTCAGCCGCGCTCGAACCTGGGCTCATTGCCGTCGGCGCCATATCGTCCGGATCGCTTGCGTCGCCTCCGGATGTGCCGTTCGGTTGGCTAACTGTGAGATCTGGAACCGGGTTATCTGATGTGAGGCGAGATATTACTTCTTGCACTACCACAAAGAGTGAACGTTGTGTTTGGAACGATACCCATAAATTATAATGAACTGTTATTTGATGTTAAGGATTGCATACAGGCTTTCTCTATTCCTCCCTAACATAGGAAGCAAAGCAAAAGCGACCTAGTTTAGGCGATTGAAAAAAATTGAAAAATGACTCATCCAGTGCTCAGTAATGATATGGAATCAGCGACAACAACTACAATCTCATGAGTCAATTTAGCTAATATCCCGTTTCAAATATGAGAACATTCATTATATGATCGTTGCAAAATGCTCTTTTTTCACAATCGCCTTAACTGGACAAATGTAAAACATGCGCACAGTTCAGTCTGCAGTTTCAAAACATTGAAAATATTCATATGAACTATCAAGCTTGAATGAGAAAAAAGCTTTTCACGTGGATGCAATGCTACAATCAGAGTTAATTTCAATTATTGCTGTTAGAAACATACAACGAGCCATCATAGTACGGGATTTCAATCTCATTACCCCACTTCATTACTTCAGTTTCTGCTTTACTTCAGTTATCGCAATTTGTTCAGTTCATTTACAATACTTACGCTACAAATTGT